CTCCGCGTACTAAAGTTGTACTACCAAGTCGCCAGTTCTCATCTTCCCGCTCCCCAGCTACTCCGCGTACTAAAGTTGTACTACAAAGTCGCCAGTTCTCAGTTCTCAGCTTCCAGCTCCACAGATTGCTCCGCGTACTAAAGTTGTACTAGAAACTCACCAGTTCTCAGCTTCCAGCTCCACAGCTACTCCGCGTACTAAAGTTGTACTACAAAGTCGCCAGTTCTCAGCTTCCAGCTCCACAGATTGCTCCGCGTACTAAAGTTGTACTAGAAAGTCGCCAGTTCTCAGCTTCCAGCTCCCCGGCTACTCCGCGTACTAAAGTTGTACTACAAAGTCGACAGTTCTCAGCTCCCAGCTCCACAGATTTCTCCGCGTACTAAAGTTGTACTAGAAAGTCGCCAGTTCTCAGCTTCCAGCTCCCCAGCTACTCCGCGTACTAAAGTTGTACTACAAAGTCGCCAGTGCTCATCTTCCAGCTCTCCAGATACTCTGCGTACTAAAGTTGTACTACAAAGTCGCCAGTTCGCAGCTCCCAGCTCCACAGATTGCTCCGCGTACTAAAGTTGTACTAGAAAGTCGCCAGTTCTCAGCTTCCAGCTCCCCGGCTACTCTGCGTACTAAAGTTGTACCACAAAGTCGCCAGTTCTCAGCTTCCAGCTCCACAGATTGCTTTCGCGCGCTTGACACGCACGATCTCCGCAGAGGGTTGCGCGGGCACCCGCCAAATCGCACTCTCGCCTGCATTTCGCGCACTCGACACGCACGATCTCCGCAGAGGGTTGCGCGCGCAGCCGGCGAATCGCACCCTCGCCTGCATTTCGCGCACTCGACACGCACGATCTCCGCAGACGGTTGCGCGCACACCGGACAAATCGCACTCTCGCCTGCATTTCGCGCATTCGACACGCCCGATCTCCGCAGAGGGTTGCGCGCGCACCGGACAAATCGCACTCTCGCCTGCATTTCGCGCACTCGACACGCACGATCTCCGCAGAGGGTTGCACTTTCGGTTAACGCTGTTCGTCCCGCACTCCGCCTTTAAGAGAGAATTTATAAAGTGGGGAAATGTTTTTTCATTAGGACATCTCCCGTGCTAGTTTTCCATACTCACACTTGCCTACTCATTGCATGCTTGTATACTCATTGCATGCTTGCATACTCACCCTTGCATATCATGCTTGCATACTTACACTTGCATACTTTGACACTGGCATACTTCGCACTTGGATGCTTTCGCTCTTCCAGTGTGTGTGTGTAAGTGTGTCGAAGTGTAAGTGTTCAAAGGATTTTCCGGAAGAACCCTTCGCAATGCTTTCGGGAAAAACTATCACAATCATGGAAGCAACAAGCCATGAAATGCGAAGTCAACATGAATTGGGATCTGCTCCAGTAATACCATCAACCCGCAAGAAGTACAACAATGGCAGTTTGCGCAAGGATTCAATCTTTTTAGGGCTCACTATTCAATTGGTACACGCAAGCGATTGACCTGCTTCGCCCACGGGTCTTTTGCAACAACTGCCTGTTTGGGTCCAAAACCACAAGCTGGTGGCATGAACACCCATTGCTGCGATGTCAGAGTGAACCCACGCCTTGAAATCTAAGAATTCACCTCACAATGCGGGTTTGTCTTGGTCGACTTTCTCCTTTTATTTTTCCTACCACAGGCCACTGCAGCCCCTCTGAGTTCTGCTAGGCTGCCTCGGTTGGTGAGCTGGGCGTTGGCTCACGAACCTTGGTTCGTGGGAGTCGGATGGTGGGTTGACCCAGTCGACCAAGGTCGGACATGACTCGGCGGCCTGACTCCCTGGAGCTCCAGGCACCAGGGATGGGAAGAAAAGAAGAGAACCTACCCCTTCTTGAAAAACTGGGACATGACATGACAGACCTGCGTGAAAGTCATTGTCTGATCTTTTGTTGACTTCGTGCCTTTTTCGTGAGTGTACAAATTCTTGAGATGACAACCAAACAAGACTACAAACCACACCATAGAAATTGATTGGGTGAAAAAATGACACTTGAGATCCCTTGACGCTGTCCCCAACATAGTTTTGCTCTTGAAATTGCGAATGAAATATATTAATATTATCCGTCTACTGAATGGAAGCACATCTCTCAAACATTTACTTGATAGTTGCGAGTTGTTTTCATTTCAAAGTACTTTCAAGAACGCATTGCTGAAATCATAAAACTATACTAGAAAATGTATACAAATATCTAAAATATAATCATCTATAATTCTATAATCTAGACTACAACTATACTCAGACTTTCTGGCTTTCTGGTTCGCCCGAATATGGCCGCCCTACAAAGCGAGCCCTAGCGTTTCTGAGGAAAAACACTGGCTCCAAGTGGTGCAGGAATTCTTGCACCAACAGTAGTGATAGCACCTTCCTTTTCAGGAAGGAGACTAATCTCACCAGCACGAACAATTTCTTCTTTGTCATGTCTTCTGCGAGGTGGGTACACTATGCCAGGAGTAATCAGCACAAGACACGTCATACTTCCCTGTGCCTCCAACTGGATGTGTAGTAGCACGGTATTCTCAACATCCCTGGAATCTGGTGGGAAGAACTAATTCTTAATATATCATGATTGGTGTGGCAAGACCGTTGCAAAGCACGTCGAGAGCAAGACCATTATATCGTCAGACTTGAACTGATGCGACAAATGCCCATAATACCGAGCTGCTTGATTCAGTGACATCCCCGAAGCACCTGCACCTGGATGCGACATCGCAACCTCAGGGTCAAGGGTGGATGCACCTTTGACAAGCGGAATACAATTGCACAGCATTTGCACATCTACCCCCCTCATATTGTCATCAATACGCCCGTGCGTGAAAGATAACGGCAATGCTGAAAGCAAACAACTGTATTCGAAGCACATCTAACCAGCATGCGGAAGAAGGTGGTCTGCAAGTCCAGCACTTGAGTATTTTCTTACCACAAAAAAATGGCAAACAACTTCACTATAGTTTGCCAAGCTGCATGGTCGAGGGGCATGTTGGCCGCTCTCTGACATTGGTCATTGAACCCCTGCTTGAGCATCTGTGCCTTCCAAGCTTCAAGAGTGACTAGCAGCAGTAGCAAAACTATTGTAAAACTATGAGCAGTCAGGCAACGCAATTCCAAAGCTTGAACACGTGCTCGGGCACTTTCAAAGACGAGTTGCTTGATTCAGCATGCCAAAAGTACCTGGATGCCTGCTATAGCCACCAACAGTGCTACTCACCTCAGTGGCAAGGGGCTGCACTTTTGACAACTGCCATCCATGCACATCGATCGTCTCACACGTGCCCTTTAGAACATGTTTCAAAACACAAACGGTTAATAGAACAAACAACATGATCAACAATGATACTCCTGACCAGTTGCAACAAGGCTTGACAAGAAGCGCGTGTACCCCTTTCAAACTATATGTTTCAGAAACCATGGTTTACCACACAGGCGAAAACAACCACCACTACCATGAAGACAACCACGACAGGCAAGCTGCATTGTCGAACGACGTCTGAGTGGCACTCTGGCATTGTTCATTGAACCATTGCATCGGCATCCCAGCCTTGAACTTGAGAACGCCAACAAGTCGAAAACGCTAGAACGATAAGAAAACAAGGACGCTGTCTGCAAACAATCCAGTTCCGTGAAAATTCAACAGACTCTGCAAAAAGCAAAATCCGAACGTGAGGACTTAAGGAAAAAGAAGCTGATAAGGCTACCAAAAGTGCTACAAACACTCGGTATACCAAGGTGCCTGATTCAAAGGCATGCCAAGATTGCCTCCATGCTGGCCCATTTGGCCACCAACCTACTTGTCAACGGGACTGGCATACACACTGACAATGGACGTGTTTTCGGATCTGTCTGTGTCACACCTGCCATGTCAATCATCCTTCAAAGACAACCACTAGTTGATGTTAGAAACTAATAGACATACCAAAATATATCAACTGTTACTGTAGTATTACTTGTGTGTATAGACTTAGACACATACAATTATTACCATATATGTTATTATATATGTAGGAAAATATATGTTGACTGTGCGTATAGTAATATAGTGTATGTTTTCAGTAGCGCGAGACATCCCAAATCCCAAGTAGGACTCAGCGGAAACTTGCTAAGGAATAGCCGTAAAAAGTGGGTCGCTGCACTGGCAGATATGCCCTGGCTGCTCTCTAGTAAGGAGTTGTTTCGTTGGACTATGGACCGCTGGTCCGTAGTGGACTTTTGTCCAGTATATATGTCTTAAAGTTTTATGTTAGTTATGGCCATCCGTAAGGTCCTACAACTTTTGTGCCAAGCTGCGTTGAGCATCTGACTGGCACTTTGGCGCTCATTGAACCGCGGCATCGGAGCCTTCCATCCAGAACTCATGAAGTGAATCCCCCAAACAATGGAAGCCGCAAACAATGGAACAACGCATGGCAAACCCATGTTATATGATTTGCAATTCCTGAACCCTGGCAGCAGCTGGTCTTGACGGACTGTTTGCACTCATGTTTTGTTTTATCCGTTTGGATCCTCTTGGTAACTTGCACATGAGTTTCAACCGCTCGTGACGCTGAGCAGCTTGATTCAAAGGCATGCCAAGATTGCCTCCATGCTGGCCCATTTGGCCACCAACCTAAGTCTTAATGGGTGAAACCTGTTGACAACTGGTCTATCTGTCTTGCATCTGCCACGTGTCAGAGCATCATCACCCTGCCTGTCAAAAACACCCACCAGTCTTGAAACAAAATGGCAGTGCAATCTCTTTGTGTTTTGCATTGCCTTTGTGTTTTGCATTGCCAATGACACCACATGAAAACACATGCTGGGAAGTGCACTTAAAAAGGTGGTTGGTCAACAATGTTCAATATACAATTGAAATAGTGCAACACCACTTATGAAACAAACATGCACTTTAACCTCTAGGGAACGGTTTAAAAACAGTCGCAAATACCTTTCGGTGGTATTTCGATGTTCGCTTGATTGTGTGCAGAGAGGGGCCAACATCCTCGACCCATTGGTTCTTCCATAGTGCTCTACAACTTTTTGACACCCATCTAGACATTTTGATGAATTTGCGTTTCTTGTCGAAATTATCATTTTGTTTCTTTTCGGTTCTTCAGTTTGTCCCATGCTAAGCTGATTTGTTTCCGGCTTTCTATGGCACCAACCCGCCCCCATGTCGAAATATTGAAAACACAGTTTCCTCCCAACGCCTTGTCGTGGTTAGTTCCTCTACCTCTACGCTTCCTTAGTTAGTCTAGTTAATTTCTTCCATCACTGCGTTGCTTGTGGTATGTATCTATTTGTTTATGACCTCATGTTCACACATGTAACTGTTGCCTCTGTTGTCTTGCTCACAAGCAGTGACTTTTCTCAAGGTGTATTCTCTTGATACAGTCGATGTCTATTTCTTGCTTATTCTAAACTTGGATACTGTCATCTCTAATAGTGCTGAGAACAAAAGACATATTTCAAGACAACGCAAAAAACTTGTTTGGTCGCCATGCCAACATATAAGCCGACCCCAGTCTAGGACAAGCGTGAGTGGAGCGAGGCCGGCGTGTTCATGAGAGGGACTCCGGTGAGAGGTGGGACGATGCTGGTTAACCGTCACGTTGCCGACCTGCCAAACAGTTGACAAATGTTGAAATTCAAGATTGTTTTGCGGGAAAAGCGTTGCCAAAGAATTTGGCCTCTGGTTCGACTCTCCCCTCACCCCCTTTGAGTTCAGGCATGGGGCCATATTGGGGTGTGGTCTCAGGTGCGCTGACAAGAAAGTGGACGGCCACATCAACCCCGCGCTCGAGGCCTCCAAGAAGAGGAAACATGGTTTACGGACGCGCGCACGCGACGCGAGGGTTCGTGCTGGATGTTTCGGAAGCTTGTTAGACACATGTTGGTTGAAACGGAGTGTTCCGGCTTCAAAAGTGACTCGGGACGGTCCAATGTCCAACACAACACCTTGGATATAGGACAAACTGATGCCTCCGGCTCCCGTTTTTTGAGCTACGTCTTTTTCAGGGGATCCTTTGAAAAACCCGCCAAACTCCTCAAGCTGCTCGCTTCACGTCCTTCTTTGAGTTTGCGTTCTGAATCTGAAGCCGTAAGTTACCTGTAAGTGACACACAATTGGCACGGTGGATGTCAACTCTAGACTCAAACGCTCCTCCAAAACCGTGAGGCCAGCGTGCCTCCAGCGTGAACCGGAACTATAGGCCCCAGGACATGCATGCTTCGCTAGGCAATTTTCTGTCCTCTTTCATCCTCTTTCCCTTCCATTCGAAGCCTTCCTTGTTGCTTTGTTTGTAGGGGGCCCACCACCAATTCAGCTGTCACTATCAGCTTTAGTGGCGTTTCCTTGGCAAAAGTCAGGGCATGAAATGCCCACGACAGTCAGAGGTGCTGTGGCTTTGTTAGAATTAAAAACGTGGTCCTTTCCGATCCTCTCCCTGAACTGGATCGCTGAACATCGCTGAACTACACCGTCGGGCCCCAGCTCCCCGGCCCCTCTCGGGGTCGGCGGCCCCCTTTTACGCCTCAACAGTAGCTCTTCGCCTCTTGGCTAGATTTCCGTTTGTGGATGACGCCTTTACGCCATGTAGATATCTCAATAAAGAACTTTCCCGACAAAGGAAGAACCTCTTAGAACGACCACATTTAGTTGAAGTGCTTTATGGAAGCGACATGGATAGACCTTGACCTTGCTTCTAGAATACACATTTAAACAAATAGAGTTTGATCAAGAACGGAGTCTGATCAAGGAGAGGAAGTGTACAAAGGAGACACGTGTAAAGGAGGCTTTGGGAGAAAATAGGATGTTTGCATGGAGATGTAGGTTGTACCAAGGACGGCGTGTGCTTGGTTAAGGCATCCTTTTTGACGGTTGAACAAGAGTGGACAATGGCTGGACCGAAAAAAACAGATTTGGACAAAACTTCCATTAGTAATTTTTAATATTCAAAACACACTGCTCATGTTCAAAGTTTCTTAAAGTTGCTTCATACTGAGTTGGACTCGCTTTAATCGACAAATAGATATCAGTAGGATATGCTATTACAAGAGTTTATGTGTAACAAATGAATTGACCAAATGCAACATCAAAAGTACTTAAAATGTGCACTCCCACAGGCTGTAATATATAATATATAGTTTTATAATTATGTTTTCAGTAGCGCAAGACATCCCAAGTAGGACTCAGCGGAAACTTGCTGAGGAATAGCCGTAAGAGTCTCTAGTAGCGAGTTGTTTCGTTGGACTATGGACCGCTGGTCCGTAGTGGACTTTTGTCCAGTATATATGTCTTAAAGTTTTATGTTAGTTATGGCCATCCGTAAGGTCCTACAACTGTTGTGCCAAGCTGCGTTGAGCATCTGACTGGCACTTTGGCGCTCATTGAACCACTGCATAGAAGCCTTCCACCCAGGACTCATGAAGTGAACTCCCAATCAATGGAAGCCGCAAACAATGGAACAACGCATGGCAACACATGCCAAATGAGTGGCGTCATTTATTCAGTACCAGACTCAAATACACTGTCTCGTTCAAACAACTTTAGCGTCACCCCAAAAAGTATATTGTTTATGATCGTTTACGTGGGGGGCCCTGTCTTGTTCACCAGCGAATGCTGACGGTGGACAAACAAATAGAACATGCCCCAGACTTCTTTAGTAAAGAACATGTAAAATTGAATAAAAGTGGATGCTCATTTCATTTTGCAACTCCTGAACTCTGGCAACAGCTGCTCTTGACGGACTGCCTACCGAACTACCTATATACCTACATTTGTCTTTTTGAAATCTATCAATGTGTCGCAAAAGCTCAGGACGTTGACATCCACCTTCTCATATCTACGGGCGTCGCCAAAAGGTCCTGTCTTTGAACATGTCCGGAGTTTTAAACGCAATTCCTCTCAAAGTCCACAAGAACGCTCCTCAAAGAAAGGAAACACATTGTCAAGAACATCACAACACCTTTATGATAGCAAGCAAGCTGTTTGTTGCCTGAAACAGCTAACCATAACTAGCCAAACACCAAAATAGGTCGTACCTTGCGCTGCTACCTGGTCATTTTATCAGTACTTTGGGAAAACATATCCAAATAATTGACAAGCATTCCAATAACTCAAGTCCCCCTGAAACCACCCCAGGTGAAACTATATATGTACAGTATATACTCTGTACATTAGGCACTTGAGTACTTCGTCAGGAGTCTGTGCACCCCTTGCAACAATATGCTGCCAGCAACTTAGCCAAGCTGCATGGTCGAGAATGTCAAGAGGCAGATTAGCCGCGCTCTGGCATTGATCGTTTATCCCGCGCATGGGCATCGGTGGCAAAGCTGCCTTTCAAGATCGAAGACTGAATAGGCAAGATTATGAACACCCAGGCAATCCAAGGGGATCCCATTGTTGCTCAAACAACATGAACATCAAAAGCAAGATTCCAAAGTTTCAACAAGTGCTCGGGCACTTTCAATGCCAGGCGGCTTGATTCAGGAGCATGCCAGGAGTGCCTGAATGCCCGTCATAGCCACAAACCTCAGTGTCGCTCCGTGGCAAATTGAATACTGGCAGTGACTCAAATCGACGCTTTCACACCTGCAATGCATCATCAAAAACAGTCAGTGTGTAAACAACAACCCATCATGGGTATCCGGGTATCACTTATCAGGTGTTGGAGGAAGTGACTCCTAGTCGTAAGCAATTCTTTATTGCCACTTAAAGCAACTGTCGTACGTTCCTCGTCAAATTGTGCCATTCATGGGCAATTGCTTGCAATGGACACCAAGCTGCATTATTAAACGGCATGTGAGCTGGACACTGGCATTGTCGATTGGACTCTTGCATCAGCATCGGAGCCTGACCCACTGGAACGCTGGCAAAACATGTTTAAACCCCAATACATCAAAGGGAGTGGCCCAGCGAGCAAACGCATGTCGAGGGAGTAACCTTCCGACAACCTGCAGTCAGCAATGTTTTGTTGACTCAACAAACCTGAAGAATCCTTGGATTCGATATATATATATATAATATATTGATTCGATAGACCTGGGCTAGCCACACAAATGCAGTGAGCTGGGTCAATGGAGCGCCATGACACAGGGCCACCAAAAGCCTCGACCTGGCGATGAAAGGCTGCCTGATTCAAGGGTGTCTCCATGGAGGTTGGATGGCTTGCACATGGGCCAGCTCGCAAAGACTGCGGTACCTCAGATGCGTCTTCGAGTTTCGGGATCTCACTAAAACAAATGAACATCCACAATTTGTCTTCAAGTATGAACAACAAAAAACGGCTTTTCACACACATGGTGGAAACGGCTCAATTGCCAGGCTGCATCATTGAAAGGCAGGCTACCAGCACGCCACATGTCAGACCCCGCCGGTCCCTGGGACTTCGAAGATCGACAGAATAAGCCGAGGTGGAAAGCATAAACGATATACTACTAGCCATGGCCTCCAACCTGAGAGCTATGGCCTCCAACCTATTAGCGATGTCCTCCAACCTAAGAGCGATGGCCTCCAACGTAAGAGCGCTGGTTTCCAACCTACTAAGAACAATGGCCTCCAACCTAAGAGCGATGGCCTCCAACCTATTAGCCTCCAACCGATTAGCGATGGCCTCCAACCTAAGAGCGACGGCCTCCAACCTAAGAGCGACGGTCTCCAACCTAAGAGCACTGGCCACTCCCAACCCAAAAGCGATGGTTTCCAACCTAGTAGCGATGGCCTCCAACCTATTAGCGACAGCCTCCAACCTTAGAGTGATGGCCTCCAACCTAGGAACAATGGCGCTCCAACCTAAGAGCGATGGCCTCCATCCTATCATAGCCATGTCCACAAAGCTCAACTGAATAACTTCAAACAGACTGGTGTTGTCACATGTTGTCACTTTTGGACTGTCGGATCTTGTAGTGTCTTGCGTGCTCCATGGTGAACCAAAATGCACCCGATGGAACCGTATTGGTTGCAAACACCTGGAAATGCCAAGCTGCCTGATTGTTTGCGTGCTTGTGGAACGCTGGATGATAGTACAGAGATTGGTCGCTCGCTCCCGTCAGCGTGCGTGGCGCCTTCCAAACATGTGGAACGTGCGTGCAACATTGGCCCACGGTGACGGGGTTTCCTAAAAATATCACAAGCAGGCAGTGCCTATGTTGACAGCAAACCAGGGCTATCAATGACTCGTCAAGTGTGTGTTAAGCAACTAAATATAGGAATCACAGCAGTTTGCAAGGTTTTTGTTTCGAAGGGTAAGAACATCAGTGTCTGTGAATGGGCTGAGCCATGCTTGACATAGCTTCGCATTGCTTCGCAACACCTGTTTGTGAAAACAATTTTCAAACAAATATGGGTATTGGCAAGTGAGACCTGATATAGAAATTTTCCGGTCACCCATTGGTGGAAAAACATGATTAGAAAAAAAACCAATGGGTCTGATATGACTCGGTGATCAACCCTGGTGCCGGCCTTTCAGTTTTATTCGGTGTCTGGGTGTATTGGTACGTAAAGGCAACAAGGTCAGTCAACTATAAAGAAAACACACCGTATAAATATAGATAAATCAATAAGTCAAGAAACAAAAAATATATGTTTTCCCCACATTGACGTGTGGGGTTTCTGTTTTCAGTGTTGTATCCGCCGGGTCTTCCTCCGCTTCCTCCCGTCCTCCTTCTTATACATCACTCACCAACACCAACCACCAACCAACCACCACCCACCACCCACCACCAACCACCAACCAACCACCACCAACCACCAACCACCACCAATCACCAACCACCAACCAACCACCACCAACCACCAACCGCCAATGGTGCTCTGCACCCCTGTCGAATGTACGCCATGGCGTTCTATGGTGTCGGCCTCTCTGCCCGTGGCTTTTGGGTGGCAGGCGCAGGACTTGGTGCTCTAGTGCTCTGCAAGGGGTCGGATGTACGCCCTGGCGTTCTGTCGTCTCCTCCGCTCTGCCGGTGGTTCGGAGGACTTGGTGCTCTGCCAGGGGTCGGATGTACGCCCTGGCGTTCTCTGGTTTCCGCCGCTCTGCCCGGGACTTGGTGCTGTGCAAGGGGTCGGATGTACGCCCTGGGGTCGTGGCTTCGACTGATTCAAAGCGGCCTTGGTTTGAGAAAAACATCCGATTCAAAGCAATCACTATTGGGACTGAGATCACGGCTGCCATCAATCACCGTCGCGTCTCCGGTCATGGCATTGATGATGCGCATATTCTTCCTCCGGTGCCTCTCAAGGCTGCTTAATCTAAAAAGATTCAATGAGCCGCTGCGACTGAAGCCAAGAGCCGACCAAGGCGGCAAACGCGAATCATCCTAAGTAGCAGAAGTAAAGAAGCATTATTGATACCGCCGCCCCTGGCCTGAAAAGATTGATTTGTTCAAAAAATGAGGCCATTGCCATGGAGGCACGTTGCCCCACGCTGGTTGAGCAAAGCAGCTGCAGATCAAATCGAATAAAGTTTGAAAGCACTGTTCAATGCATACGAACACCCAATGCTGTTTTCACATGTATGTCCTTCAAATACAAAACTCACTCATTAGGAGTACAAGTGCTGGGAATCTTTCAATCCTGTTCTTTATGGCAAGCCTTTCAAAAATAGGGCTTACATTTTAAGATCTAAACAACGGAGAGAGGGGACAATCACAGCAAACAGGCGTCCATCCATAGTGTCCACCTCAAAACCCCGTCCAGGCCTAAACTTGAACAGCTTTTGGTCACAATCACGTCATCGTTTACTTCAAAGGCTTCGCCAACAACAAGGGTCTTGTTTCCTGGAGCAACCGTCACGCCCTGAGCAGCTATGGCTGGAAACATACCTCGAAGTTTGGAGCCAAAGGGATCCGCAGTGTAATCCAACAAATTGTCCAAATCCACGTGACACAAGTCGACAGGAAATCCCACGAACCGCAAGCACAACAGGTGCATCCTGGGTGGCAGGATCCTTGTGAACACCGCGCCGAGGCCGTCAAGGTCATGCGCACGGCGCCGGGAGGCCCGATCCCCACAAGCCTGGCCTTATAGGCCTTTGGGCCAGAAGGCTCTCTCTCTCTCTCTTGTAAAATTCAGCAGCTGTTTGTTTGTCGTTTGTTTGTGCACGTCTCTGTATTGTTTTCCTCTGGCAACTGTCCTTAGGCTCAAGGCCTCGATCCAAGGTGCATTGTATGGCACCGTGCAATTGTACATGAACAGTACGAGAGAGTAAATGAACTATTGTAAATGAACTTGTCTCTTGACACCGTCCCTTGGTTTGATTCATTGTGGAATCACACCATCACTACCAACATTGTTGAAAACTGCAAAGAGGCATTATTGTGCTTAAACAGTTCAAAGCATTGAAAGCAAGTCTGTACATCGTTCTGTCATTGTTGCTTCATCGTTGTGCTCGTAGGGCATTGTCATATCTGGAGCCAAGCCGCTTGTAGGACCATTGTCCTAGCCCTCCATGGTGTCGATGGTATTGTCCGGAGTCTCCGAGCTTTGTCGAGGACGTTTTGTCCCTTTTCCATCCTCTTCAGTCTCCGACAGTTCCAAATCAATTGTCCTGTCTCGCTCCAGGATGTAAGCACTGTGCTCGGGATGTCCTCTTTGATGCCGTTTTGGGATTGTCACGTGGAAGGTATCGATCTTCTTGTCGGCCTTGTAGACCCCCACGGCCAATTGCACATCAGGTGGCAATTGTGACTGACCAAATTGGCCAAGATGTGTCAACGCCATCCTGAAGATTGTATGGTGCGGGGAGCTCTCCGTGAGAGTCAACATTGACTTCACGTGCATTGTGTGGCCATACAGCCAGATCCAGCCACTCTCCCAATTGTACTTGTCGAACTTGTCGATGGCGTTGTACCGCAGGTGCGTCACACGCATCTTGTTCATCTCTTTGCTTGTCAGCTGATAGTCAAAGGGTGCATGGATTTGTAATACCTGCACGCTGTATCCTCTCTGGAAAGACGTGACCATCTTTTGTGACTGGTGATGGATCAAATTGTGCTCCTCAAAAGAAATTGCAATCAGCACCGTCTCCTTGTTCGACATTGTGTGTCCTGCCGATTGGTGGTAAGCAAGCCATTGAATGGCTTCCTCGCTTGTTGGGACCATTATGTACTGCTCCCAATTTCCGGGTTTCCGGATTGAACCCGGAAGTTTGTCGATCTTGCCCTCGTCGTTCACCATTGTCCCATATTCGGTCATTGTGACCGCCGAGAACCAGAAGGTCTCATTGTCATCAAGGGCCTGTGCCCATGGTAGGTTCTTGTAGTTCTCGGGGTGCAGGATCGTGCTCTCGATATTGTCCACGTTGTAGATTGTGGACCTCTCGTCCCACAACGAGATTGCGACTCCTGTTGGCAGCCTGCTCTGGTTGTGGTAGTCTGGGATTGTCATCTCCCCTGCCATGTCTCTCGTCAGATTGTTCTTGATGATCTCGATGCAGATTGTCACAGCTTGTGAGAAAAGCGGCTGCGGTCAAAGATGGTTGACAAATTGTCGACCATACATGCATTGTCCTTCAATTCGAAATGCAAAACTTCAAACACATTGTTCTTCGATTGTGCTCCGAAACGATGAAACGAAAGTTGAGCTCATTGTGAAACCAGAGATCTTGTAGTACATATTGTCTATGACATAGTATGCGCATAGTAGCTAGAATAGTGTGCCATGGCTTGACGCGCCCATGTGTGTTGTATACACGCATTGGTGCTGCCACGGTTGTGAAACTGTTTGTACGGCCGCTGTTCAGTTGTGGTGTTGTGGGAATTGAATGCCCGCCATGTAGAGGTGTTTGTTGAGCACCTCTGCCGAGACATACTTCGTCAGTATGTCCGCTGGGTTGTCGTGTGTGCTGATCTTGTGTATTGGTAGTACCCCGCTTTGTACCAGTTGTTGTACGAAGAGGTGCTTCAGATCGATGTGCTTTGCTTTCTTTGACGAGCCAATTCTTGTTGCAATGCTTTTGCCGCTTGTGCTGTCAGTGTGTATGCGAATGTTCACCTTTGTTGTTGTTGCTTCCTTGATGAAGTTTGCTATATGTAGTCCTTCTTGTGCTCCTGTGCCAATTGCATAAAGCTCTGACTCTGCTGATGATAGTGCTACTACTGCCTGTGTTCTGCTTCCAAATTGTACCACTGATCCCATCATTGTCACGATGAATCCGCTTGTTGATTTTCTTGTGCTTGGGCATCCTGCCCAGTCCGCGTCGACATAAATGTTGAGGTCGATGGGTTCCTTTGTTGGTGGCGTGTGTGTTGTCCTCAGGATCATCTTGTAATGTTGTGTTCCCCTGAGGTATCGTAAAAGGTGCTTCACCTTGCGCAGGCTTTGTTGTGTTGGTTGTTGTAGGTCTCGTGCCAGTTCTTTTGTCGCAAAGCTGATGTCTGGTCGTGCGTAGGTCAGCCATTGTAGTTTTCCTACTGCTCTCCTGTAGTCTGCATGTTCTTGTGCATCTAAGGGTGCCTCATCGTTTGTGGATTGTTTCAGGGTTGCCGTCCCTGGAGCTGATGCTGGATTGCTTGCTTCCATCTTTGTTTCCTTCAGCAATGTTGTGATGTATTCTGGTTTGAGACTTACTTCAAGGAGGTCTCCATTGTTGTGTATGTCCCTGCCAAGGAATTGGATTGTCTGACCAATTCCCAATGTGCCGGTTGGTCGTAGTAGTACATGCTTTTGTACTTCCTTGAAAGTCTTGTCGACTTCTTGTTGTTGTCCAAGGAATAGTAGGTCATCCACATAGACCATCACAAACATTGTCTGTTCATTGTTCCTGTTTTCGTTGGGTTCACTTGTCAGTCGAGTCAGTCCCAGTTGCAAAATAATCTTGCCAAGATTTTGGCCTTGATCGTAGTCCAAAAAATGCTTTGTTGAGCTTCCACACTGTGGTTGTGTTGTGACCACTTGGGTATAGTTCTGGCGGTGGCCACATGTAAAGATTGTCAGTCGCTGCTGGTGCATGTAGAAATGCTGTTGACACATCTCCTGCTTGTATTGTCCAGTGGTTGTGCTGTGCCATTGTCAGGAGGATGCGCAAGATCCCAAAGATCGGCGTGCTCGCATAGATGTTGTCAAG